TTCAGAAAGTCCTGTTTTTGTACTGCTATACCAGTACTGTCTACCAAAGAGAATTAGAACTAGACTAAGATTCAAGAGACTTTTGTTCTAGCACTAACTCAGCACTAATTTACTTGAAAAACCACTTAATTGCATCACTGATGATCACAGGAAAGACCTGGAAACAAATGCTCACCTGCAGGAGAGTAAGTCAATAAAATGTGGTAGTCACACAACAAAATATCACAACAGTCAAAACAAATGAACTGCAGTGACACACACACAAATGATGGCATGTTAGCAGCCTGATATCAGATAGAAAAAACCATCCCCAAAGATTTCATCAGCATGATACCTTTTTATAACATTGTAAACAAATAAAATTAAAATAAATGTTTTAAAGAAAATATACAAGTAATCTGAATACAGTTATATACCTCGTAACTATGTTTTGGTCAACTATGGAACACAATGGGGGTCACAATAGGCTTTCCTTGTAACCCAGATATTTAGGAAGCTGTGCCATCTTGGCTGGTGTCATCATATTTTATGATATTTACTCAATGACAAACTGCCTAACACATTTCCCAGAGGTAGCCTCAGAGTTAAGTGATGCATGACTGTCTATAAAAAGAAAGCAAGCAAATGATGCACCAAGATGGAGTGGTCTGTTATCAGCCCTAAATCTTGTATGAGAGTAGAGTGGAAGGGAGTTAATTATTGACTTGCATATATTTGAATTACAGGGGAAACTAATTTCATTTCTTTTCTATGTGTAATTCATGCTCAAGGATAACAGCAAACTGGTTAAAAATGCTGATTTTTAAATGCCAATTTATCTAAAATACATTCATTTTAGATCATTTGTACAAATGGAATTATCTCTACTAAAACAAGAAAAGGTTAAATGAACTTGTTCACAGAAAAAAAAAAAAGTTGCCATCCATGGTACCAAAAATAGAACTTCTCATTTTCAGCCTTATGATTTCAACAGAAGACAGAATGTTCACTTTATCTGACTGATAAAGACTACAACTTCTCTGAGGACTCTATTTGAACTACTGTATAAGTACACATAATTACAAGTTTCTGGAAATATGTACTGTTTATTTTATCATTTGTAGTAGCAAGCAGAAAGACTTGGGCTTAGTATTTACTCAACAGTGATGCTAAATTTTCAGAGTCATTACAGACCATTTGTGAGGGTCTGTTTAGAGATCTTTAAGATCAATGACCCATTACTGCAATTATAATCTAAGTTGGTTCCTGCCACATATACCATGTTCTTGCTACCCGAAAGTGACATGTTGATGTGAAAAACACTCAGCGCATTATTAAAAATGTGTCTTTTCTCTGAGAAAACTGCAGAAATAGAACAATAACTGCACTTTACAATTCTCTTTCCAGTGAATGATGTGACATATTGTGTTTTCAATCTCCTGTGATAAAATTGTAGATACTCTTTAAAAAACTCATAAAAGAGTACATTTATTTTTGATTATTTTTATCACTTAAATCTTGATAGTATCTGTCTTTTCTACCACATTCATATAGAATCTCACATAGTCATGTACTCCAACCATCTATATACGCTCAACTTTACATAATTCCTTATAACCTACATGAAGGAAAATATAGATTACTAGTTATGTGATTATATATTCATAGAATTGGAAGGACCTAGAGACAAAGAGCAACTAGTCAAGCAGAATTTCTCAACTGATACCAGAATCCCTTATTGCGCAATTGTCTTCATTTGGGGCTACTTGGGGTTGTGGGAAGATATCATCGGCCCTTTTGAGACTGATGAAGCTATAGTGTCATCCCAACAAAAATATACTTATGTGTGTAAATGCATGTGCCATTTTTTTCTTCTTTTTAAACTTTCAATATTGAGTTTCCGGAATCTATTTTAAATTAAACAGACTCATTGCAGAGTCTAACTGCCATCTTGAGAATTCTCTGTGAAATGCTGACTGTAGCCTGACTCAGCAATTCCATCTCTCTTCCTTATCTGTGTCTATAAAAGAAACAGGAGACCATATGCTGATGAAATAAAAGACCCTGCACTGCAGCCTTCTCTCTGAAGACCCTTGTAGACTAATCATAAAAAGACAAAGGAACCTATCCAAAATCACCGAAGCTCAGACCACCTCCCTGCCTAACCCTCAACAAAATTCCCATTCTCTGACCCTTGTAGAACAAAACTTGGAACTGCCCGTTAGATGTGGAGTTGGATCCTGATCCTTAGTCTGGAATAAATGTTTCTTGACTATCATAGCCTGATTATTTCTTCATTAACAAGTTATTTCACATGTTTCTAAAGATTACATGACTCATTTAAAAAAAATTAACAACTACTTCCAGGAAAGTAAATAATTGTAAATTTACCAAACCATAAAAAAAGAAATTTTAGTGACTATTTAAAATATATTTTAATGAGAAGGTTGTTTTATTTAGAATAACCTTCACTTAGTAATATTTATGTAATTTTAGTATTCATCAGTTTTGGTCTGTTGAAACAAACTCAAATAACAAAACATTTTAATAAATATTAAAATAGCAAGTACTCAAAGTCTCAGCTCACATAGCTTTCAATAATAATTAGATGTCCTTTTAGAGTAGTTTTATGTCAAGACACCTGAGATTAAGATACTTCAAGTTAAAGTTCCACCTTTGTTCTCAAGTCAAATGAAATTCTATTTGGAAAGGTAAGTGTCAATAATGCAGCTTCTGTCTGCAAGGAAAGGCATTGGAATGCTTTTTTTCATTTGTAAATCATCTGAGCAGAAATAACCTTTAGAAGACTTCTGCAGTCTTGCAGTTGCTGTAGATCTTCCCCATGGATAAACTAACAAGACTTTTTATTTTTCAGCTCCCTTTCTCTTCTTTCAGCACTGGAAAGGTCACACATTTTTAACTCTAATCTCTTCCTACAAAATGGCAGGTGTTTCCCGCAGCAAGTTTCCAAGACCAGCAAGTCCGTAATCAAATTGCTAGTATCTATTCTATGGACAGTTGTCTTACAAGAAAGTCTAGCTACTAATGAAGCTGTCTTGTCAAATTAGCCTAAGATACAGCAATGCTTTACTTAAAAAAATAAAGTGTAATTTTCTTTTTTTTTTTTTTTTTTTTTTAATTTTCTGACCCAAATTCAATTAAGTGCATCTAACACATCCACTGGAAAACCAAGAAAATTTTGACTGTCAAAAGAACACACTTTGCTCCATTTCTAAATAAAAACTTGAGAATAAAGTTTCCATGCTATGACTGTGTAATTATTAGACCACTTTTCATGGAGCAGACAAGGCATCTTTTAGGATAATTGTGGGAGTCTCTGTTACTTAATGCATGTTGATGTTGCAAGTAATGTATTTCCAGGAAAAATAGAACCTGTCTTTTGCCTCCAATGTAATCAAGCTGGGTGTCGGGACCTGAAACTCCACAGGTACTACACAGGTACATACAACATCAAGATTATCAAGATTTATTTTCATTACGAGCTTTTTTTTTAACAAAGAAACTTTGTTAACAACTTGTCTTTAAAGTATCCATAAGAAATCACACACACACACACACACACACACACACACACACACCCTAACATTCATACAACAGATAAAAATCAGAACTTTACTGAAACAATCAGAGTTTTCACTCAATTTCATGCCAAATGGGAATGGCACAGTTGTTATCTTCACTATAACTGGCTTCAAAATAGTAGCAAAATGTCAGAGTTCAGAAATAGGTTACATCAACTGAACAGAGACATGTTTTTCCTTTTTTTTTTTTTTCCTTGTTTGGAGCAACCCACCAGGTTAAACATTTCTAGAGTTCATGATTTGATAAAGTTTTCTCCAACTATTTATGATTCATTTTGCTTGAAGTATGTCAAGAAAAACACATCGAGGCATTATGTAAGTTTTGGTAATTTCTACTCTTTTATAATTGAACTTTTTCTCCAGAAAATAAAAAAATATATTATTGTGGGGTATATTTTCAAGATGTTCAGAAATGAGCTTTCTTGAATTCAGGCTCTCATTGGCAGGAAACTTATCACACAAAAAACAGTCTGGCTTTTGTGTCCCATTATATTTAGCAATGCAAATAAAGTCAAAGGGAATACAAAAGCCATCAAGCTCTCTCAGTCATTCTCCAACTTAAGCTAAATTCAATATGAACAGAAAGAGACACACATAAACATAATGTCAGACATGTTTTTGCTAGTTCTTCTGACTGCAATGCTATTCTAGATGCCATTATATAACAAGGTTGCTAATTTTGTATACTGAATCCATGACACTCTATCCATGTTTAAAGTTAAACATTAAACATATCTTCCAAAAAATTCTTTGCACATAAATGGATGGAACCAAAAATAAAACATGCATACATATATCTCAAGTGAACACACTTATGGCCAATTAAATTCATTAGTTCACTTTTCAACTTCACTGAAGTGAATATAAAATTCACCTGGTCATATTAACATACTTGTTTCACCTCAGGATTCTTAAAATTAATAACTCAAAAAGAATTAAGTTTTGTTAGAAGAACATATGCTCAGAGATTTTCCATGCTTTCACTAAATAGCAGTGTTTGGATAACTATAACTTCAGTCAGTAGGAGGTTTTACTCCTTCAGATTTATCTGTGAGCATTTTAGCTGACTGTTCTTTTAAGAAATCTCAGTCTCATTAATTGTTACTATTTCTACCTGAATTCTCGATGAATTCACATGACTACTAAGTAGTATATACTACATGGAAGAGTCATCTGCTGGGCAGTCATTTCATTAGCACCATAAGATCAACATTTGGTTTATATGTGTTTATAAATCCTAACTGCTTCTAATTTAAGAATTTAGCAGATGAAATTGCATTTTGTCATCTGTCCAAAGGCCTAAAAACAGAAAGTTAAGATGTAGTTACAATCTTAACTATTTCAACTATATGTGGAAGAGACATGTTTTCTATGCAGAAGACATATGGCTGAATAGTTATTAAAATCTTAGTTTCATACCTCTCGAATAGCAGTACAAAACTCACTCTGAAGCACTTTTTTGAGGGACTGTAGCTTGTGCACTGGTACTTCTCCAGATTCCTGTAGTTTTTCCAGTAATTCAATTGCTCTGGCAACATCTGAGCAAAATAAAATTAAATTAAAATTAAAATTAAATAAACTAAAAATGAAGAATAAATTGCATTACATAACCAAAGTACCATTATTCCAATTGAATGGTGACAATGAAAAGTAAATGGGATTAATTATAAAATGAGAATTTACAATTCATAGTTTATTGATTCTGTCTTTTGTAAAAGGTCATATAAATCTGTTGTACACAGTTTGTCATTTAATATGTCTTCTTGATGGCATTTATTTTACGTTATTTCTGTCACAAAAATCAGATTGAATATTCTTTCAGGAACAAAGAGCCGGAAACATGTCATTTTTTAATATTGATATCCTAATAACCAAATGAGTCCTGTCAATTTCACCTATGAGATTTTTCTTTCAATTTGATGTTTTCTTTCTTATGAGGATGTTATCACTTTAATCACATCTGTATTTGCTCATTTACTTCTATGTTTGTTTGACTAGTATGTTTATTTACTAGTATATTTATTGCCCTTGCCTGTAACTCATTGAAGTTAGGAATATATTTGTCACATTGCATCCACAGAGTCTAGTTTATATAGTGAATAAACATTTGATGAATGAATTAATGGTCTCTCTTGATTTTACTGCCATTATGTTATTTCAGGCCCTCATTATCATCTCTCCTTTGTCTCACTGGAATCATTTCTTCTCCTGCATTGTCTGTATGTGATCTGCAAAGTTATCCAAAAATAATGATAAAGTGGAGTGATAATACACCTACCAGCTTCTAGAAAAAGAATTTTCAAAAACAATTAATTTAAATGCTTCTCTTTCGATTGGCAACATCACATGTTAATGTATTTAAAAAATAAGTTTCTTAGTGCCATAGCTTTAAAATTCCTCAAATGGCTTGTGGATTGCTAAGAAAAAACGATAAGGTGGAAGACCATTTAAAAAATACTTATGACTTCTTCTAATTCTGTGGCTGAAATCAACAACTCACAGAAGTTACTTAGGCATTTATATATATTAGAGATTTTCAATTCCCTGTGATTAGCTTCAGAAAATACCCCACATCCTTGAGATTATAAATTCTTTCATACATATATACATACCTATACACAGACATACACTAATCTGTGTTCCTATTAGATCTGGAACAAAGTTTAACAAGAATGGGACCCTTCCTTTCTGAAGTCATGGAACTCAGAATCCCATAAAAGCATAGCTATCTAGTCATCATAAACTTGTTACCACCTCAGAATACGGGAGAAATGGCATATTTGTATGTGTTTAACCAAAGCTGGAATCTGGAAGTCTTTTTTTTTTTTTTTAAAGATTTATTTGTTTATGCATACAAGAACTGGGATACAGGCCAGAGGTGTGGAGGGTGAGAGGATTCACCAGAGTGGGGAACAGAACAGGCAGACTGACGAAATACACTGCTGAGGGGAGCAGTGGACGAGTCAGAAGAGGTCTGCTGCGCCATGTGGGTAGCTCCTGGCTGGAGATCGAACTGTGCTGCAGTGGCTGCAGATAGCTTCATAGGTTGCATCTCAACCCCTTGCACCACCAGGGAGGCCCAGAATCTGGAATTCTTTTAATCAGCAAAATACTTTTACATAAAACCATAGCAATAAAGTGTGTAGATTTATTTATGAGTCCCTTTGAGTTTCCTGCACTTGATTCTCCTTACCTTTATTTTATGAAACTATTCTACAAAATTTGATTATGAATATAGAAGTGTGGGTTAACCAGTAGAATTCAGATTATGAGGGACATTAGATAATGACTGGAGATACTACTAAACAAAAAACAATGCAGTCACAATCTTAGAACATTTTGTGAAACTTATTTCTCCTCTTTCCTCTCATGTTCATCCTCTTCCATCTATCCCTTTATCTAAGCAAAAACTTGGGTGCTTCCTTTGTCCCACCACTCCACATTCCAATAATCCTAACTTCTAAAAACAACAAACTTTGATTGAATTTATATGACATGGGAGTCAGTATATACTAATTGCTTAACAACTTTTAAGCCATTTTATCTTTATACCAAACTATAGCAGTGAACATCCACATTTTGCAAATGAGAAAATTAAGATGTATTATAGAGCGTCGAAGTATCTCATTAACAGATAGAAGATCCTGGATTTGGAACCTGATGATTCAAAATTTTTATTTTAATTCCAATCACAATTTTTCTTTAAGCAGCATTTTCCTTCAACATTCAGCGCTTTAAATAATAGCTCTGTGCACTGCAAGCTTTCTTGATTAGAGGCTGAGCTCTTAATCTTTCCTCCCTCAATAAAGATTAACCCCTGTTCCATTTATCAGTGTGTCTCTCTCAAGTAATGTTACAGGTCATCAGAATCACTTGGAGAGCTTTAAATGGAAGATGAGGTTCTCAGCCACCCACTGGAGTCACCTGGGAGCACTGACAAAAAGAACAGATACCTAGATCCTACCCATATACATATTTCCCAATTTCATTATTCAAGAGTATGGCTTGGGTGTCAGGGTCTTCAGAGCTCCTCAGTGATTATAATGTATAGTTAGGTTGGGAGTCACTGGTATAGAGTCTCAAGACATAGCCTCAGATTCTACTAGCAACATTACTTATGACACTAATTGCTGTCACTTATAATGTTCAGAATGGCACTTATCTAAACATTTCACTTAACAGCATTATGTGATAGGTACTGTATTATCTCCACTTTGCAGAAGAGGAAACCCAGACTGATAGAGTTAAAGTTACTTTTCCAAGGGAAAAAAGTAAGTCGTAGAGTTAGGATTTGAATCTTGCAAATACATTTATTGAATCTGGGCTATATTCAAGACGTGGCTCAGAAACATAAATTCTTAAAATCGTTCTCAGTACTTTTCCTTTGCCAGTGCTGTTCACAGAGATTAAGCTCATCTGATCAACCAATCCTTGTCTGAGGAATGAAAGCAGTGACTCTCAAATTTTAGTCAACATAAAAATTTAATCCTGGACCATTTATTAAAATTTGAGATGAAATAAAAGAAGGTAAAAGATGGAGTCTTGAAATCTGCTCTTTCAATAGTCATCTCAGATGGTTCCAATGGAAGAAATGGTTCACAGATATAAATTGTTCACAGATACACTCTTTACAGGTAAACAGATAATTTAATGCATGATTTAGAACCAAGTGAGGGAATAGTCAGTGCTTACCTGACTTATTTAGGCCATATTATAAAATTTTTGCAAGTATACAACAAGATTAATATTGTTTTCATTTTACAATTAATGAAAATAAAACTAGACAAAAGACCAAAAAGATGAATTATCTGGTCTAAGGCTATACAACTAGTAGATGACAGAGTCAGGATTCAAAACAGATGTGTTTACTCCATACCCTATGCTCATTTATTTCCACCCTGTCCAAAAAAAGGGATTTGATGACAAATGAACAGAATTTGAAAAAAAAAGATTGTTGGTAAAATAATAAAGGTAAGCCAAATTTATTTTTTAAATATTGTATTATGTGCCATTATTAACTGAAGTCTCAGAAAGTAACTCTCTAATACATTACAATGTAATTAATGTGTTCATACTGGTAACATATTTTGATCACTGCAAAAATGAACAGATGATCATCAATTGCCTGGGGATATTAAAATTACATTTCAGAAAGATTTCTGATAGGTTGAACTTTATAAATGGAAATGACAAAATATTGGAATTTAAGTAGTATGAGCTTCCAGTGATCTGAAATAGTCCAATAATCATCTTTTCCTTCCTTAATGATGAATTTTGTTAATTTTATTGGCATTTAGATTGCAGAACTTGGCTCATCTGAATCTGGAATTAGATAAAGACCGAGCCAGGTCATTTGAAGCATATTGTCCACTAATTCCATAAAATTTATTGAATACTCTCTAAAATGATATAAATTATCTATCCAAAGCCATCTTCAACCCTCACATCCCCTGCCTTTTTCCACTATGAAAATTGGAAAGCATATTTCTCCTCCAGACTCTTTTGTAAGTTGGCCAAGTTATTGTAAGTCTAAAGTCACTGGATATGGCTTCCAGGAAGGCTTTTTAAATGGACAAATTGCTGGCACATGCCCTCAGCATTTTAGTCTTTGCACTCCTCCTCTTTCCTTATTCTCTTGCCAACTATAAAGGCTTAAATTGCCTAGAGATGAAGCAGTTATTCTGGGATTATGATGGCCATCAAAAACTAAGGAAGATGGAGCAGGAGAAGGTAGGGCCGTAACCCTTGATGCCAGTACTGAGCTGATGTTCCAGTTCATAATTCTTTTCTATGAGACAAATATATGCTTTATTATTTGGTTTTCTGTGACTTGCAAGCAAGTGAAAACCAACGGATTTACAAATATACAACTTTAACTACACTATTTCAGGTTATATGGGTAAAGTTGATAGCAGACAGACTGGAGTCACTTTTGGTGATTAAGGTGGTCAAGGAAAGCCTTTCTAAAATAGTGACACTTTGAAACTTGGATGTTGAGAAGGAGTCAGTCATATGAAAATCCAAAAGAGGACAAAGAGAAAAAAGCAAGGTCGATGATCCTAAGTGAGGGAAGCAGTTACATGTTAGAAGAATAAACAAAACCTGGGCCTCCCTGCTGGTGCAAGGGGTTAAGCACAGCACTGCAGTTAAGCTATCTGCAGCCTCTGCAGCCTCTGCAGCCAGAGTTCGATCCCCTGGCTGGCCAAGGAGCTACCCACATGGTGCAGCAGACCTCTCCTGCCTCGCCCGCTGTTCCCCTCAGCAGTGTATTTCAGTCAATTTGCCTGTTCTGTTCTCTGCTCTGTCTCTGGTGAATCCTCTCACCCCCTACATCTCTGGCCTGTACCCCAGTTCTTGTATGCATAAATAAATAAATCTTTAAAAAAAGAATAAACAAAACCAGTAGCAGTGGGCCATAGTGAAGTGGAGGACAAGACCAGCATTATACAGGAAACTAGTTAGGAAGAAGTATATCTGAGCCCTTGGCAAGAGATGGTGAAAACTTAAACTAGTGGATGGTCAGCAGCAAATAAAAAAA